CTTGGAGAGTCAGTTAGGTATCCTAAAATATCACTGGACACAACATCAAAATATCCAATGTCTATGCAAAAATAGGAACTTTTTGTAAGATGTGAACTTATGTAATCAGCATTTTCAGTGAATGCTTATACTAGGTGACTTTCAGAGCTATTTGTGACAAAAATGCAATTGGAAGAATTCTGTAGACTTAAGCCCTATCAAAAGCAATTATTTATTTATTATTAAGTCTCTTTAGTATTATAGACACACTATTTAAATATATTTTCATTATGGAATATTAAATCTATGAAGTATTTATATAAATGCTGCCAGCTCTAAATGTTTTTGAATTAATGGTCCTCAGATAAGAATCTCTCAAAATTTTTATTGGGCAGAAAATTTTTCCCCAACAGAATATAACAGTCATGTCCATGACAATCTGCCTTCGGTTGAATATCTTTTCAATAAACTTCTGTTGAATTTAAAGTAAAATCAGCAAAATAAGAGTCCACATAGACCGACTGATTGTATTTATGATACTAAGAGTGTAAATGCCATAGTCTCAGATGTTTTGAGATCTCTGTTCTTACTCTGAGAATAAGAAACTGTATTCTCAGGTAGAAGGCGGACACTGTGCACAAAGTAATCACAGGTAATTCACAAGTCCAGGAAAGGCCGTGAGTTGGTAGCAGTGGTTAGCTTCCTCTGACTCAGTCAGGGGTGAACTTTCCCAGTAGCAGCCCTGTCTGCCTCTCCATCCTGGTCCTCATCCACAATCTCATATCTTTCATGTGGGATCTTGGTCATGTGTTGGTTTTCTTTTGCACCCCATTCAGTTTTATACCAGTTTCCCACATAAGCCTGTTAGAAATATAATATTAATTGCCCAGAAATGCCAGTCTGCAATTGCTCCCACATCGTTCCTTTAATGAATAGACTTCATTGCTCATATTCCTATTACTTTAGCTACTTCTATTTCTACTTTTATAGCAAAGATCTGTGCAAATAAAAAAATATCAAGAGGTATGGCTATAAATGTGCTCTGCTGAATTCCGCCTGCATTGAGATGCTTGTGAATTGCTGTTCCAAAACTCCTGCTGCATTTTAATGCCTTTCTTCCAAGGCAATATGATATAGTAAACACAATGGGAGCTTTGCAGGCACACAAATCCTGACCCACCAACTCTCCAATTGTGTTACTTACCTTCGCTGAGCCTCAGTGTACTTATCTGGGAAATGTCAACACAGTGTTATCCTCACAGATTTGACTGGGATTGAAATGACATAAAGATGTGCAGAATATACTGTACCTGGGACATCATAGAAGCTCCATAAAACTTAGTTTACTTTCTCCAGCCTGCAGCAGCAAAGAAGACTGTAGCATGCACAGATGGATGCTCATTCTAAGAAGTACTCCAGTTAAACAAGGATAAGTTCAGATTCCAAAGAAGCAAATAGTGCCTCAGAGGGAAGGTTTTCACTGTGGTGGCTGGGTAGTAAGACTATAGGTGACTGTAAAAAAGTGAATGGTATAGTTTCTGAATTCCATTGCAAGGTTAAGCTCTGTCCAGCTCAACAATGTTATAAGAAGGGCCTTTAAAGACTCTGTCATTGTAATTGATAAGAAATCCCAAATAAGATACATGTTTTCATATACTGTTTGAGTCAATTCAACATTTAAGACCATTATTAGTCACCTACATATAGACAGAGCTGTTTTTGTAAGAATGGCCAGGTTCAGCTATCATCTCTGCCCTAGAAGAGGCCAGGAGGAAAAGTTAAGAGTTCAAGACCAGCCTGAGACTATAGAGCAAGAACTTGTCTCAAAAAATAGAAAAAAGAAAGCTACTTCAACTAGCAGACAAATAATACAGAAAGTCTAATTTCTAACTAGCAATGTAGAGATAAAATTATTAAGCCTTTGACAGGTATAAGTTACATGCTAATTTGGTATCACTTTTTAATCTATCAGACAGAAGATTCTCCAGAATCTGTACTAAGTGTTATAAAAGCAAGAAAATGGAACAGTTTTTTCTTGTTAGAGGACTCAGTCTCTAAATATGTAAATAAGATGGAGGAAAAGAAGTGATTTTTAAGTAGCAAGCTATAGTTGACAGAAACGCTTGGAATCAGACTTAGCTTGCTAATCATCTATTAGCTGTGAGCCTCATCTTCCTCATTTTTATTGACCAGAATAATAAAGCTTTTCAGACTTTGTGATATTTGCCAAACCATTGCATTGAAACTGTAAGTAAATTCCATTCAAGTGGGTTGGAAAGGATTCTAAGGCTATGTCCAGGATTCTTGGGAAAAATACCATAGTTGATGAGTGAGATCTACTCTGGCATATAGCAGAGTAATAGCTTATAGCATTATACTTATAGTATAAAGTATAACTATTTTGATTACTACTTTTATTACAAACTGCATTTATATCTAGCATCAAATTACTAAATTTCTGCATCCTCAACAGAAAAAAAATTATTGATTGCCATAATTACAGCATAGTATATATCATTTTTTAATAATTTTAAAATATATTTTTAACAAATAAAAGTTCAGAAAGTTTAACATTTTTTAAATAAATCTAACACAAGAGCTCTAAGTTTCTTGTAGAAGCTTTAGGAAAATTATAAAAATATTAAACAAGCTCCATGAGTCAATAAACATACCATGTTCATGTACAAAAGAACTCATTACTGTGGGGACATATCATTTTTTATTACTTGGATGGTAAACATGTGCTCTCTGCTAAGGAGAGCTGAAAACTGAAGTCAGAATCTGCTATTCCTAATTTTAATATATAAGACACCAGCTTGGAAAAATAGACTATTGTTACTAAAGGTAAAATGGCGTGGGGGGACTATTGAGCTGTAGTCCTGGGTTACCATAAAAGACTCATTGTATTCCAAAATATTGTCTTAAAATATTTACACACAGAAGGTACAGCATGTTCCACACTAAGACATGCCATGATTTTTTTTTTTCTATTTTTTTCACTGGAGCCAGACTTCTTTTCCAGGTAAACAGACATGATCCTATCAGCTATCGGGGACTTTGAATCCTGAACAGCTGATTTTGTATTCTTTCCCTACTCCCTTGTTTGAGAATGGCAATCTGATCAAACCCATATTTTTAAATTTATGTATTTATAGGCATATGGGAGAAAAGTTTATAGTCTGAATATGATTTTTCCCACCACAAGTAGAGGAATATTGTGGGGTTTGGTGTTTTTTAAAAACAGTGCCTTATCAATTCCTTTCCTTTTTCTGTTTTTCCTTTATTGCTGATGACTTCATTCCACTTGAATTCAATGCTTCATTTTCTTTGGGGTAAACTAATAGATTATGTATGCAATGTTTGCACCGTGTTGATTGAACTCATCTGGTGAGTTTGAATGCTGCTGGTGAATTCCTGTAACCAGCAGAAGCCTGAGCTTGGAATCCAACCACCATGGCCATCTCCAATTACTGAGGAGCCAGAGAAACTTTTCAAAATAGACGGCGGTACTCTTCCTGCTTGTGCTTCAGAAAAGCTTAGCAGGCCTTTATTGTCTTGGGGTGGAGGAAGACTATCTTTCCAAAAACTCAGAAAATTTTAATTTCAAAGAAAAAAGGAAGGAAAAAGAATTTCAATTTACAATTTCAGAATTGTAAAACACATTAAAGGAACATAAAGCTCTGTGATCTCTAAAGGTTTGCCTTTTTAAATTTTATTTTTTATTATTTTTAATTATGTGCATACATGTAGGTACAGGTGCCCACAGAGGTCAGGGGTGTTAGACCCTCTGGAGCTAGAGATACAGGCAGTTATGAGCTATCCTACCTATGTGGCTGCTGGGAACTGAATTCTAGTCCTCTGCAAAAGCAGTATGCTTTTTGGGGCACGTCTCCAGCCCCAGGGTTTACTTTTTCTTAATCAAATACACCAGTTGCTGCAGAACTGTGGTGCACCTAGGAAGCCCAGCAGCTTTGTGTGCTTTGCTGGTGAGACTCTGAAAGGCCAACACATGGCTGTGCCATCTACTAACTTGCCAGCCATTTAGTTTTATGTAGGCCATTCTGCCCTTTTCTTTCAAAACTGTGACTCCTGTAGACAAAGAATGTGAAGTTCTTATCTTCACCTTTCCAGATCTTAATGTAAGGTCTGGCACAATGGAGCAACTAGTCCTTAGATGAACCTGTGAAGTCCAATGACAGTTCAGACCTGCATATCCATTTCTTCTTGCCTCCCAGTTCTGGATTATAGAGAATGATGCTAGCTCTTTTGAAATATCCTTGACAAATCAACCCATACTAAAAGGGGCCACCAATGCCCAAGGTGAGGTTGAGTAAAATAAAGTCACTGGGTAAGCTGTTAAGTCCTGGACAGCACAGTGGCTAATGTGGAAAGACAGAAGCTTGGACAAGCAGCACAGTAGCACCACGAGCTTCCCCTACCCCTTTCTTTGTTTATTGGCATGGCTTTGCCTTCTTTCCTTCCCTGTAGTCTAGCTGTACCCATATATTGACCTATGTTCCACTGTCACACACCCTTCTACATACACACACTCCAAAACTTCATAATTTTGATGAGAATATTAATGTGCCAACCAACCACATACCACATCCAAACTGCAGGCCAAACACCTGGAGCTTAATCCCAAATAAGCAATGTTTATTTGAAAATATGAAATACTCTCATTAAAATTTAGCCAAATACTGTATATATGATCTTTTTAAAAAGTGATGCATTTTCTATTGTTCTAAGGTCACGACTTTATCTTACCTTCATATTCCCAAAGTATATATTAATCCCAAGTCACATATTTTGACCCTTAGAGCTAAAGGTATGCATGAAAGGTCCTTTCCCGCTCTTGTGTATTACTGATTTCACCATTTTCCTAGCATATTTAAGTTACATTTTTCAATTTTTCAAATTTGGATGTTGGGCCATTTAATGACAAGATTTGAAGGAAAAAAAAAAAAAAAGACTTCCGAGGATGACATCAACATGTGACCATGTTTATTCCTATACTGTAGTGACCGTCCCTTGGGTGGAAACACGGACCGCATCCAGAAGCTGCGGAAGGAATACTATCAGGCTCGGAGGGAAGGTTTCCCTTTGTATGAGGAGGAGGATGGAAGAATGCGGCCGTCTGACTATGACCTTCACTGGGTGAGTCCATGCCTGAGTCCAAGCATGGATTCTTCTCTACCAAAATAATTCAGAGCAAAAGTACACAGTCAGGTCAAAAAAGTTCTATCCATATCAGCTTACGTTCAGGTTTCTGAGTTTTATAGATATGAACATTACACAAACCACAGCAGAAGTTGTTTACATAAATCAAAACACACGGCTCGACATGTTCCCTCTGTGTGCTCCCACACGTCCTGTTGCACACTCATTGGTTTGGGGCAAGCAGATATCAGCTTCTTTTAAGAAGATGAGGAATGGGCTAGAGAGATTGCTCAGTGGTTAAGAGCATTGGCTGTTCTTGCAAAAGACCTGGGTTCCGATCCCAGCACTCACATAGTAGTAACAACTGTCCGTAACTCCAGTTCCAGGGTAACCAATGCCCTCTTCTGATCACCACAGGTGTTGTATGACATGGGTGCACTTATATACGTGCAGGCAATACATGCATACACATAAAATAAAAATAATAAATAAAATATTTTTATAAAAAAGGACAAGGGATGTTTGTCACTTTCTAGTACACCTCAATCCATCCCCTCCTTTTCTTAGACTTCCAGGATTTGGGACAACATTAATAGACTTTGCTATATAACCTGCCTCTCCTTTAGAAAATAGCTATTGGAAGTACATTGCATAGAGTTATTGTCAAAGATATCAACTGTTTGTGTATCAGATCTGAGCAGTTCACATTTTTCAGATCTTGCCAGAACAGTAGAAGGACTTCGTCTTGCGATAAAGGCAGTATTTGTATTAGAGGACTCATTGTGCAACATCATTCAACATTCAAGGATTCTGACCACTGAATGGATACTTTCTGTGTTGTCTTAGGATTCCAAGATTCATTTCCTTTTCTTGTAAGTTTAACTTAAAACATATTTAACTCTTGAGTATCCACAAAAATGCCCAGAGGAGAGGCTTGAAGTTGGATTATAAGTACCTGTCAGCTACAGTGCCTAGCATGCAGCTAGTACTCAGTACATATCAATAAACATTAGCTTTTGGTACTATATTGGTGCAGAGTTGAGAAAGGTCATTATGACATCCTCACTGTAACTCATTCTACACACCCTCTTTTATGATTGGTGCCTATGTTCCACCAGCTCCTTGGAAAGACACACATTTTGGAGGCGAGGTTTCTATCCCAAGTTTCATACTCATATTTATGCTCACAAGGTCAAGGTGCAGAGCATAGAACTGATTCTATTCAGTTTTCACATTTGCATTTTGGCAGATGGTGAATGACATATTCTGAAAGTTAGTTTCAACATCTCCCACAGTTGTACAGAACTAAGGCAACCCCTCATCCCAGGAGGTTCCTTTTCATAGAATGGAGTTTTAAAACACTAATGGTGTCGGGTGTGGTAGCATATAATCCCACCAGGAGACAGGGACAGGAGGATGAGGAGTTCAAGACCAGCCTCAGCTATATACATAAGGTTGAAGCCAGTTTAGGCTGCATGAAATCCAGTCTCAAAAAACAAAAACAAAAGGTAAAGAAATGCATAAATGCATACTAACAGAAGTATGTTGTGAGGATGAGGATTAGTGATCCACACTAAGTGGTGTCAGGCTCTTTAGAGGAAGGCATCCTGAAACTTAAGATCAGAGTCAACAACTATTTATGTTTATTACAGATGTTAGAATTAAACAGAATGGCATTTACAGTGATGAAACAACTTGTCTCTTAGATTCTTAGTAGAAGAGAAAGATTTCTACAGAATAACAGATTAGATAAAAATTCACTCTGTTTCAAACTTGATCCTGATCGATTTACTGCCTTAGATGGGAGATGTGAGGTACTTATTAGGTAAAGCTTAGGCTCCCTCAACAAACAAAATCCGTGATAAAATAAAGTGATTTCCACTATCCCAAGAACAGAACACCATGTCCAACACATTGAGAGCATTCTGTTTCTAACCACCACATGTCTCAATGAGCAAAATAAAAAAGTAATTTCAGATTAAGCAGTCCTGGTTTGTTTTGTTTTTTTTTTTTTTACCTTATTTAAATGATTTCTTTACTTTGAACTGAGAGGATAAAGATGCTGAGGCTTCGAGTGACTGAAAGTATCCTGTGATGTTCATCAAACCTGAGCTGGGTGCCTAGTCCCTTGGGAGCCCCCTTTTCTAATGATACTCTTTATGCCTAGCAGACTTGTAAGTGAACAATTTAGTGAGTGAAGAAGTGTCTATTTTAATTTGTGTTTCCCATGCTCCTGTGTATTGGGCTTTGCCAAATGTGACTGATTTTATGTTTCCCAGACAATTTGAGTGTAAGGCATCCCAAAGGGATGCTTGGGAACTACACTGTCATAAAAGAGGAGTATTCTCTGTGATCACCTGCGATACTCCAAACTGGGGATTAGAATCTCAGCATCCTTTCCACTCCTTTTCCCCTCGCGCCAAGGCACAACACTAGGACTCTTGTCTAGTGGAGACCTGAGAAACTGCACCGTTGTCTTGCTCCTTTTGGAGAGATCTAGGAAAGCACATTTAGAAAGTTAACATTTTATTCCCGCCCATCAGCCAGACCTGACAAAGCAGCTTTCATGAGATTGTAGCTTCTAGAGCAGGTTGGTTCTCTGAGTCACAGGGGTTCTTGTTAAAGTCAAACAGAGGGAGGGAGGGGTAGAGCTCCATGAGTCAACCCAGCACCCAACCCTTGCTTCTCCAGGTGGACATCTTGAACCTGTAATAGCAATGCTGTAGATGTCAACAAGGATTCCTGGGATTCAGACTCAAGGACAAAAATTGGGCATTGGTTCCTATGGCGTCAGTATATGTCTAAGTAGTCCATGTTTGCTTAGAAAACCCTCTCCACTATCAGCATCCGAAATACTTTGGGGACTTAGAACTACCCAAGTCTAGCACCTCATTCAGGTCAAGAGGCCTGGCAAATGTTCCCCATGGCAATTCTATTGTGGAAAATTTCTGAGCTTCCAAGAGGGAAAGTAGGAAGATGAGCCATCATGCAACTATAGTTCTCAGACCTTGCCATCCTCAGGGAAACTGCAGACACCAAAACCTGCAGGCGCTCAAGCCCCTTATTAAAAATGGTATAGATTTGTATAGACTATACAGATTTTCTCCTATATATCTTAACTCATCTCCAGCCTATTTATAATGCCCAGTACAGTGTAATGTTATATAAATTGTTATTATACTCTATAATTTAGGGAATTATAATAAGAAAAAGTATGTACATGTTTAGTACAGATACATTTGGTATGTACATATGTGTATGCACTTGTCTGTGTATACATGTTTGTAGGAGTGCATGAGTATATGTAGACATGCACATGTGTGTATGTGTGTGTGGAGGCCACAGATGAATCTCAGGTATCACTCCTCGGGTGCTGTCCACCTTTAACTTGAGAAAGGGTCTCTCACTGGCCTGAGATAGACAAGTAGGCATGGAGGGTCTGCCAGTGAGCCCTAAAGATCTGGGAGCCTCCACCTCCCCAGCATTAGGATGTGTCACCATGCCCATCTTTCTATAATGTAGGTTCTGGAAAGAGAACTCAGGTCCTCATGCTAGCAAGGCAGGCACTTCAGTAACTGTGTTATCTCCCTGTAGTCCCAGCTGGCCTGAAACACACTATGTAGACCAGGATGGCCTTGATCTCACAGAGATCCCCTTGCCCCTGTCTCCTGAGCGCTGTGATTAAAGGTGTGTGCTACCACGATCGGCTTAAATTATTTTTTCTCAGTGGTTGGTTGAATCCACAGAAGTAGGTGCCCAAGTATACTTTAAACTAGATTCAAAATGGGCCAGAGAGAATGAAAATAGACTCACAAAAGTCTTCAAACCCAAAATGATGAAAATATTCACTGAAAAGATTATTAAATTAGTGCTTTAAGGTATTTTTCTCAGTGAGACATACATTGTTCCTGTGGCCTTTCCTGTACCTTCTCAACCTTCCCAGGCCATCTTACCTGTAGCTGTCAACCAGCACTACATGTGCTCAGTGTCCCAAGCCTAAGATTTCTCTCATGATTTCTTTCGACTTTGTTCATTTATTTTCTCTGTGTCTCCTGTTCACTTTTAATAAATGTTTATTAGTTCAGTCCGTGGGGGCCAAACACTGGTAACAAATATGACTTTATCTCCACTTTGGAGGAACTTACACTCTAGCTCAGGAGTACAGATTCCTAAGCCAGCATCCCGTAGAACAGTAGCATATATGGCTAATGCTATCAACAGCTCTTATATGGACTCGGAGAGAGCAACTGACTGTGTTGGGTCTACAGTCAGTTTCAGACACAGTGCTATGCAGGCTGCAGAGGTAATCTGGGACCTGCCTCAGACAACATATTCATTCTTCTCTCATGTTAGTAGTGTATATTTTTTCTTCTCCTCAATCCCCCAAATCTACTTCATTTGTTTAAAAATAAATGAACACACAAAGATTGTAGGGTTTTTAAATATGGGCCTGAGACCATAAAAATCTTTTCATCCTGTCTATTTTGTAGCTGTTTTCCCATGCAGGCTCTGAAAAACTATAAAGAATAGGTCTAGAGAATGTCAGTGGCTCCAAGTGAAACAGCCTGGTGGGTTTTTATAGGCCCAATTAAGTAAGCAAAATATGCTAGCTGTGAAGTGTTAATATTTGCCAAAGGAAAACATGATACCTGTTATCTGCTGATATTTTTATTTCTGTAAAACTTGTTAAGACTGTCACAGTCCTCTGGTAACAGGCTGCTTTTTATTAGGAGATAAATATTATCTGCTTATTTAATAGCAGTATGACTATCCTGTAAACAATTTTGGAAATGGAATGGCTCTGGAGTTTTCTAAAATTGTTCATACCTTTATTGCCTTTTTCAAGAGCTGCACAGTGTGTGTTATTATTCTTATACTCCCCTTTTGAACTTTTTGGCTAAATTAGAAGAATGTTTACCTGTAAGAGAGGCTTATAGACTCTTGAGTAGGAAGAGAGAACAAGTGTGTTTATATTTGGAAAAAAATGGGAGTTACCA